AAAGGAAGCTTGAGAACCTTGGTCTAGTAATGCTCTCAGTAGGTGTTTGAAATTGTGCTTAGTCTGCGCTTCGACTATAGCGGTTGCTAATAAAACTCTAGTCGGAGCCGCTTTCTTAGAAAAGTGAGTTGACATTGCACTAATCTTTGAGTCCTGCGCCCCACCGGAAGCGCAGTCCGCTGTGGACACTGCTGATTTGACAGCGACGACTTCTTCTGAGCTACAACTGGATGACGTTGGTCTCGAGGACCCTTTAGGGTGTAACAAGGAATGATGTTTGCGCTTGCAAACTTGAAAAGTAGTGGTGACTCTACAGAATTTAACTGCATGATTTGTACCTAAACAATTGTAACATAGACCCTGAGTTCGCACGAAGTCACTGCGAGTTTTCTAATTATTCTTACAAAATTCTTTGCAATGGCTAAGAGTATAATTTTTTTTTTACAAAATGGACAGGAAATACTTAAGTTATCTTGTGGATTGTTGAGTAACAGCATGAAAGCTCTTTTATTTACTTACTGTTGATTTCGTTTTATAACTAACCGGTGTGTCTACGTATTCCAACGAACGAAATCTTGTTTCCAAAAATGCTTTAAACACGCTAAACTTTGGTATTTCGTCACATGAGCTAACCCTTATTTTCCATTTCTTTCGTGATTCGCTATCTAATTTCGCGCCTACTATGTATATCACTATAGCATCCCACGAATTAACATCTATACCTATCGTCGATAGCCCATGCATGCAATCCACAGTAGTATCCAAAAGTTCCTTGATGGCCGTTGATGATTCTAACAGCTTAGGTTGTTCTATTAATCTCTTTATCATGGAATTACACAAGTATATTTTGTTATCGTAACGTTTCTGCAACATTTGCCAGCATTCTAAATAATTTGTGGCTGTTCAGACATACAGACAGATGCCCCTTCAAATAATGCAACTTTTGCACATTGTCATTTGTGTCATTTTTATGTATTAAAATTGTGTGTGAATTGTAAAATATGCTCTTTTAATTCTGATTTATAAATGATATAATTTTCTTCAAAACTATCGCAAGTACCTGTTTCAAAATAATTATTAACGGTATCGGTTAAAATTTAAATAATTTTTCTATGAGTTTCTATAAAATTACTCAGCTGTTGTTCCAGTGTCTGTAATCTAGTTTGCAAATGAGATGCTGTTAATCTTTCTTTGGGTGACTTCATGTTATTTATTCTACCTTTCTCAATAGAATTCTTGGTATCCAGTTGCAATTTAACTAAAGATTCTAACTTTTGTTTTGTTAAATAATAACTATTGTGTAGGTATACAAATCTCTAAATAATGTGGCAACTCTGTGTAAGTGTTGTGAAAGAAATTAGTTAGGTGTTTATTTTGATTAAAGAGCAAATTTACAAACTTTTCCAAGTATTTAGGAATACAGTTATTACCATGAAACAAAATCGGACATAGGATACCCGTGGGTGAACCCCAAGTCCTTTTTAAAATAATACAAGTGCATAAAATATTTAGAACTTGAAAAAATTTCAAGCCGTTTAAATTAATGTAAATATAATATATGAATATTACAAGTGTTTGAAACGTTTCAATATTTTGAAAATTTGGAAATAGATTCCCCGTGTAAACAACTTTGGCCTTAAATAATTACAAGTCCAATTCTAAGCAATTACTACTATTACAATAAATCCAAATACAATTAGTATGAAATCACTTAAAAGTGCCAAATACCTTGATATGTTCACAAGATAAAAGTTTGTTACTCACGATTGCTGTCTGCTAAAGGTTCTTTGTTGTTGTAGATGGCACTGGTATTCCTGCTTCGTTTGCGTACGCGCAATGTTCTCTCCTAGACCCCAGCTAGGGTCTCGAAGTAACATCTCCAGGTCTACGGCCTGTCCAAGTGGTGTTCCGCGCCGCCTGCCACTGCATTCGGGTCACTGGGTCGGGCCCAGATGGGCCTCCTTGGTAGTCCCAGGTTGTCAGTCCAGTAGGGGGGGCGGGGGGCGTGGTTAACGAGGTCGAGCCCGTACGGCCTAGTCTAGTGTCACCCCCTGTGCTTGGCTAAGGTCGAGCTCCGAGGGATGGGGACCCCGAGGAGCGCCCGTCAGCCAACATCAGATCATCGGTGTTGAGGAAGGTCCGGTGGGGATTTCCACGGAGACGAGGTCTCGCGGCAGGCCATGTCTATCCGGCGATCGCAGACGATAGGGCGCGAGCTCCCGCAGGTGGCGGGCTTGCGAGCCGTCGGCACGCACGACCAGATTTGTGCTTAGGCGTCTCACGAAGTCATCCAGGCTTTCCACGCGCAGATCCCTGGAGATCGTCCTGTTCCGCACAAAGCGAGGGGCATTGGTAAGGGTGCGTAGTGTGAGTGACTGCTGCGCACGCAACCGGCGGCGGTTCTTCTCGGAGACGAGCGCGAACCAAGCCGTGGCACCATAGGTTAGTCGGGTACCAATGTTCGCCTTGTACACACCGAGCTTCGCACGGAGCGGCAATCGGGACGACAGTACGGGCCGCAGGAGTGAACGCGCGGCACGAACCTGGGCAACGACGTGATTTACGTGGGGCTTCATGGAGAGGGTGCGGTCGATAGTCACGCCGAGGTATTTCACCGTCGCGGTCCACTCGATGTTCTCCCCCATGAGTTTCAGCTGTGGTAGGGTCACGCTTCCTATGGAGATCGCCTGAGTCTTCGCCACGTTGACCGTCAGTCTCCAGTCCTTCAGCCAGCTTTGAAGTGCGTCTAGAGTACGCTGCATCTTGGTAGCAGCGTTGGCACCATTTGGTGATGTCGCGATGTAGGCAGCGTCGTCGGCGTACAGCGCGAGCTTCACACCGTCGGTGACGGGCATATTGTCTGTGTACCAAGAGTAGCAAGACGGCTAAATCTATGACGTCCGGTGTATGGGCTACGCAGTACGGGTAGTGCGTCGGGACCTCTGGTCCTAGCACCTGGTACTCGTTGCGATCTGCATCATCTAGAAGGCGGCGGCCTTCTGGGCATATGAAGTTTGAGTTCCACGCCGTGTGTTTCGCATTAAAGTCGCCGGCGATTATTGTAGGCAGCGCCGAGTCTAGCAGGGTGTGTAGAGACCGGGGGCCAAGGACGGCCCCCGGTCTGATACCAGTTGAGCTGCACCTGAAAATGAGCGTTGGAATGCACCTGTGGAGTATGCTGAGCTGCAGATATGCCAATAAATTTTATTTTCTTTCTTTCTAAGTGCATGCTTCTTATGTTTTATCAGTTGTCATAGTAGTCATTACTTAATTTTGAACTTCAGAAGACCTTATAAATGCCCTACCGAGGGCGAGGGAGGTTTGTCAAATATACATTTTTAAATTTATCCTTCAAAAGTGCCGATATTTACCCCGTTCTCACCGTAATACTACTCTGTCAAGAAAGTACCGGGAAAAGATCAATAATACACAAAATGTTTGTTATTCATCCAAATTTATTTCATCACCTTCTAAGTATGCTCCTTCAGAAACGATACACGAATAATCCAATCATCAAAACATTTTTTAAACGCTGTTTCCGGAATTGAATTAAGTTCTTGCCCCAAATTCTCCTTTATGTCTTCTACCGATTGAAAACGGGCGCCACGAAGTGGTAATTTGATTTTAGGAAAAAGAAAGAAGTCGGCTGGAGCCAAATCTGGTGAATATGGTGGTTGCTCGATGGTATTTGTTGAGTGTTTGGTCAAAAATTCGTTCACAATGATGGCCTTGTTCGAAGGCGCATTATCGTGGTGCAAAATCCAAGAATTTCCTTTCTACATATCTGGCCTTTTTCGTCGAATTTGCCCTCTTAAATGCCGCATAACGCTCAAAATAATATTCTTTATTTACCGTTTGACTTTCCGGCAAGAATTCCGAGCGCATAACATGTTTAATACCCAAATGATTAGTTAAAATGGTACAGATCGACTCGTGAGGTACAGAAAGTTCGTCGGCTATCTCTCTCAAAGTTGAATGAGGATTTTCAGTTAATATTTCCTTCACTTTTGCGATGTTAACTTCAGTTGCAGACGTTGAGTGCCTACCAGAGCGAGGCAAATCTTTCATCACATCTCGACCGCTTTTAAACGCTTTGCACCACTCATAAACACGTCTTTTAGATATAGTTGATTCATCGTAAGCCTTCTGTAACATTTTCAGTGACTCCGAACACGAAATTCAATTGGCGATGCAAAATTTTAGACAAAATTTTTGTTCGATGTTTTAGTCCATTATGAAATTCGCAATACGCACTAGATTTGATATAACTAAAAACAGCAGTGTATTTAATATAAATAACAGATGCAACTCAAACTCCACGCCAAAAGGGAAAACAGTTGTACCAATCCAAGGACAAAAAAAAAAATGCATTTGGAACCATAAACAAATCATCCATTCCCGATACTTTTTTGACTGTATGTATGTGCAAATTTTCCCTGCATATTTCCGTCATTTGTAATAAGCCTAGTAGTCGCAAAGCTATACAAAAGTTTCATTAGTAAATTGAGTTAGAGACATAAAGTCATAAAACGATTAGTTGAAAATATAAGTAAATACTAAATGCACACACACACATGCACATAAAGACAAACTCGGCAACCAAGTGGATTTTGCATAAATATGTCAGCAATGTCATTTCAATGGCGCAAAGCTATTAATGATTCAATCCATATTGTGTTTGGTTAATCTTTTTAAAATTTATTTATTTATTAAATTAGAGATTGGATCCAGATAATATACTTGTTTTCATAGGAGATTCGATAGCAAACATGAACCTTATGTTGATATCTACACTAAAACTGTCGTTTAATTACCGATATATTAGAATGACTATTTCAGTTTCAAATATATTAAATTTAAAATATTGTACCAAGAATGAAGCTTCGTTTGAAATCCAACCGTTTAAACTGCATAAACTGAATGAAGGGCCTAATACAAAGGTAATTCTCACCCGTAAATGTGCACTAAAACTGTATGAAAATCTAACAACAATAAGACAAATGGAAATCGCAGCGTCCAATTTATACAAAGCAAAATTAATACGTGGATTTTGTCATTTATACATCGGAGAGGAAGCAGTAGCGGTAGGTATGCAATCCTCGTTGCGTACCGTAGACTCTGTAATCACCTCGTATCGGTGTCATGGATGGACTTACCTAATGGGAGTAAGTGTGTTGGGTGTTTTATCTGAGCTGGCTGGTCGCGAAACTGGATGCTCCCGGGGCAAAGGAGGTTCAATGCATATGTATGCCGCTAATTTCTATGGTGGCAACGGTATTGTTGGCGCACAGATACCATTAGGAGTTGGCTTTAGCTTTGCTCATAAGTATAAATCTGATGGTGGCGTATCCTTTACTATATACGGTGATGGTGCTGCTAATCAAGGACAACTTTTTGAGAGTTACAATACTGCAAAGCTTTGGAATTTACCTTGTGTATTTGTCTGTGAGAATAACTTGTATGGCCTGGGAACACAAATTAATCGAGCATCGGCTAGCACGGAATTCTACAAGCGTGGTGATTTTATTCCTGGTATTTGGGTGAATGGTATGGACGTATTAGCTACGAGAGAGGCTACACAATTTGCTATTGATTATTGTGATAGTGGAAAAGGGCCCTTAATATTGGAAATGGAGACGTATCGGTACACTGGACACTCGATGTCGGATCCGGGAACATCATATCGCACGCGTGATGAGATTCAAAAGGTGCGCAATACTCGAGATCCTATCAAGAGCTTCAAAGAGAGGATAATCAATGCTCAACTAGTTACACCTGATCAACTTAAAGAAATTGACTCTACAGTGCGAACTGTGGTTAAAGAAGATCAAAAACAAGTGAAAACGAAGTCTGAAATTGGTGTGGAAGAAATATCTGCAGACGTTTACAAATTATGTCTGGAACCTAATAATCAAATTCGTGGAATACATCCCAATGTTCCATTAAAACATATTTCAAAACATTCATGAGCTTGTTAAAATATAAAAAGTAAATGAAAGAATCAAAGCGCAGAGACACACTTGTGTGTCTTGATTTCTTTATTGTTTGATTGAAGTTGGATTAATGGTAGTCACTGCAGTCTTTTAAATTACATTTATGATCATTTTCAGGGTTCCGTACCCTTATAAGATCACTTTCTTGTCCGTCTGTCCGTGTGTCACTACCGATTTTCTCAGGAACGGGTAGACCTAGCAATTTGAAATGTATACCAGATACTGTGGTCTGTGGTCCCTATTAGATGTATAAAAATCAAGGGCCTGAGTCAACACGTTTAAAAGATATGGGCAAATTTCGATTTTCGCGAAAGTTGTGAGTACCAAAATTTACCTTAATTTTCAACTTTTTTTATTTTTCAGAATTTTCTCTTTACTTGTGCTGTAAGATCTTGCTTTCAACCAAAATTATCAATTCTAGGTCAACCGGAAGTACCCTATAGGTTTTGGGTCGAAAAGCTATATGATAGTTGATCTAAAATCACGAAATTTGGCAACAAGAAACTTACAGCACAAATAAAGGAATAATTCCAAAAAATGAAAAAAGTTCAAAATTAAGATAAATTTTGGTACTTACAATTTTTTGCGAAAATCTACGTAAAATCTGGGTAGGTACGGAATCCTAGGCGCACGGGTTCGACTCGTACCTTACCGGTTTTTTTTTACTTTTAATACACTCTTTTAATACTTTTGAATGCGTTTTTTTTTCAATATTTTACCATTAATAGCATGAGATACAATGTACTGAGTAAGTGCGTTATTGAAACAAAATTTACTCCCACGTGTATTGACGAACTGCAATTTATTAGATTAAATTAACTCTGATTTAATAAACTGGATACTTAAAATAACTTTTAAAACAAGTACAAAATGATTTAGATATTCTGAACAACTGGTTTCTATCTAATTTATTAACTAGTAATACGTAAAAAACATCATACATGATCATTGCTGCAAAAAAAAAGGAAAATTGACAATAAAATCCAACTAACAATAAATAACGTAAAAATTGCAAAATCAAGTAGTGAAAGATACTTAGGCCTCATTTTAGACACAAAATTAACATGGAATTACCCTATTGCACATATGAAATCTAAAATATCTCCTGTTATTGGTGCACTACATCGAATGTAATTTTGCATCCCTAATAAGGCTCGAGTAATGATCTATAACGCTCTAGTTGGACATCATATAGAATACCTAGTTAAAATAATTAATAAATTAAAATAAATTAAGTGCCCTACACTGCTTCGAAATCGAATATCTAAGAAATACAAGTCTTACAATAAAGCAATAAAACACTTTATAACTACGACTACCTAACACCAACACTTAAAATCTACAAAGATCTCAAAATCCTAACAGTTTAACAACTAAAGGGTTTTCCAACAAGAGGTGTTATTTTGAATCACCCGGTATTTCGGTAGCTGTCACTTTTGAAGCTTTTATTTTTTGACATTTGACAAGTAGAAACTACGCCATTACTAAAAATGGAACGTTACACACTTCAACAACGCATTGAAATTATTAAAATGCACTACAAAAATGGTGAAAATCTTGCAGTCACAGTTCGCAAAACTAAAGCATTTTTTGGTCGTCGTGAAGCACCTTGTCGGACCGCAATACAAAAATTGGCGGAAAAATTCGAGCTGTTGGGACAAGTTAGTGATGTGAAGAATAAAACCCGTGCACGTCGCTCAAGAACAACTGAGAATATTGCTGCTGTAGCTCAAAGTGTTGAAGAAAACGCAGGTTTGTCCATTCCTCGTCGTTCTTTGGAATTGGGCATTCCACAAACGTCATTACACCGTATTTTGCATAAAGACTTGGGTCTTAAGGCTTATAAAGTTCAGTTAACACAAGAACTCAAGCCGGCCGATCATCAACAACGTCGTGTCTTTGCTGATTGGGTACTTAAAATGCATGAAAATGATCCGGAATTTCATCGAAAAATCATCTTGACTGATGAGGCCCATTTCCACCTAGGAGGCTACGTGAACAAGCAACAGTTATTGTTGAGAAGCCTCTCCATCCTCAACGTGTGACTGTTTGGTGCGGTTTATGGTCAGGCGGGGTCATTGGACCTTACTTTTTCGAAAATGAGGTTGGATCAACACTTACCGTTGGAATAACACCTCTTATTGGAAAACCCTGTATAGATACTTAAAACAAGTATACTAATACATAAAATTATAACACAAGGTACACGTTCACAATTAAGCTTTGAAGGAAAAACATATACATACTACGAAAGGAAACGAAAAAAAATAGAAGTAACAAAGGCTAAAACCGACTATGGTAATTAAAATATATATATTATATGAAGGTGTTAACTCACTTATTTAACCTTATATTAAAAACTGCTGAAATACCATCGCAGTTGGTAGAGCCAGAAATAATTTTAATTTACATAAAAGGTGAATCAAAAGATATCACAAACTACAGACCTATAAGCTTACTCTCATGTATCTACAAACTGTTTTCCTCCATAATTAACAAAAGAATAAGTGTCACAATAGAAGCAAACCAACCAATAGAACAAGCAGGCTTTCGCAAGCGCTTTTCCACAATCGATCATAAACATACTCTAGAACAAACAATGGAAAAATACCAAGAGAAGCAAAGAGCGCTCTACATCGCATATATTGATTATAAAAAAAGCTCTTGATACCGTGTCACATTCAAGTACATATATGCAAGCTCAAAAAGTTGAACAAGAGTATAAAGATATAATCAGAAACATTTACAAAAGTAGCACAGCAAAAATAAAACTAGAATCCACTGGTCCTACGTTATCCATCGGAAGAGGCGTGAAACAAGGCGACCCGTTGTCTCCAAAATTATTTATATCTATCTTAGAGTCAATAAAAAAAAGATTCAACTGGGCAAAGACAGGATTAAACATCAATGGCAAGTATTTATTCCACCTACGCTTCGCAGATGACTTAGTGCTGCTGTCAGAATCTAGCATACAATTACAAAACATGATTGACTCACTAAACAAAGCTAGTAAGCAGATAGGACTAGAAATGAATCTTTCGAAAACAATGGTCATGACAAATAGTGTACAGAGGAGAATATCAGTGGACAATGAAACTCTGAAATTTACAGAGAAATACATCTACCTTGGAAAACAAATTGGCTTCAACAGAAAACAAAATGAACTAGACGTAGAACGAAGAGTACAAAGTACTTGAAACAAGTACTGGTCCTTAAAAGAGATATTCAAAAGTAACATGCCAACAAATATCAAAACAAAAGTCATGATATTGTCATGCCTCCTACCTTGTCTAACCTATGCATGCCAAACTTGGAAATTTACATCCAAATTAAAAAGCAAAATCACTACTTGCCAACGCGGAATAGAACGAAGTATGCTCAATATTAAGAAGATGCAAAAAATTCGTCACACAAAAATTAGAGAAACCACCAAAGCGACGGATGCTCTAACCTACGCTAAGAAACTAAAACGGAAATGGGCTAGGCACGTAGCGAGGCTAAAGGACGAGAGATGGACCAACAGGGTAACAACGTGGAAGGGTCCAATCGGCAAACGCCTCAAAGGCAGACCTCAAACGTGATGGGCAGACGAATTGATAAAAATAGTAGGTACCTGCTGGCCACAAATAGTTCAAGATAGAGACACATGGAATTCTTTAGAGGATGCCTTCACCTTAACTTGAGGAGGGGTCCATGCAAACAAACTTCTATATTATTACCTATACATATAATATTTTTCATAAATAAGTGAAATAGTGATAGTAAATAACCATCACAATTTTTTTTTTCTCTTTTTTCTTTAAACAATGTACGTATCATAATTTTGCATGGAATAAAAGGAATTATTTTTATTTTTTATGAAGGTGTAAAACTTTATAATGAAATAGATGATGATATTACTAAAAGTACTGACACCAATAAAATTGTCTTCATATCTTTAGGACCACAAACTGGGCATTATACTTGTATCTGAGGCTCACTGTACAACAACATCGCTAGTATAATAGTATAACAGATGGATGGTATAGCAGACATAATTGGAGAATCTCCTCCGATTAGGTCTGTTATCACACTAATCACCCTGATGGAACAGGTTACGCTGGAACAGTAGTGATTATAAGAAAGACAATCAAGCATCAGCCAATGCCACACTATGCAACTGCCCGCCTTCAAGCCACCACCATTTCTGTGGAGGACAAGACTGGGTATTTCAACATCTCCGCAGTATACTGTCCACCGAGACATAAAAATACTGAAGCTATGTTTTCCGACGTTCTCAGTACCCTGGTACATCGCTTTATAGCAGGAGGGGACTGGAATGCTAAGAATGAGCATTGGGGTAGTAGACTGACTACCACTAGAGGACGGCAGCTAAAATGTAGTATAGACATAAATCGTATGACAACCATTTCCTCTTGTGAACCAACCCACTGGCCAGCTGATCCAAAGAAAATCCCTGATCTTGTACTTCTTTATTACGAAAGGATTCTGTAAGCACTACATGAAAATCGAATCCTGTTATGATGGCTCATCTGACCACAGTCCTGTTCTGGTAACTGTTAGTACAATGCTTGTGGAACCTGCAGTTGCAGAAAAGCTTTGCAATAGGTATACTGACTGGGTGTCATTTCAGGAATTCCTTGAGGATAGAATAGAACTGAAAGTAGCTCTGAAAACACGCGAGGATATTGAATCTGCTACTGGATATATCACAACCTTAATTCAAGAACCTTGCTGGCTCAGTACCCCTGCTGTGAACACTGGAATTACACAGAACAATTACCCTGTGGAAGTCAAAAGAGCGGTACTAGAAAAACTGAGACTAGAAGACGAAGTTTTATTTATTTATTTATTTATTTATTAGGGCTAACAACAGTCCTTAAAAATAAATATTACAATTTAAATTTCTACAATCAGGTGAAACCAATTAATTTTAACCACGTAAGCAATTTTGATTTTTGTCACAGCAAAAATGTAAAAAAATAAAAGGTGAGGCCATCTGTCACCCTAGCAGAAGCAAGCCCGGGTGGCGGCGAGCGCGTTGCTAAGCGCGCTCGATTCCAGGGAGCAGACGGATCATGAAGTTCCCACACGGGGGGTCGTCTACTCGTCTGTAGATGGCCCGAGGTATGTCGGGGCACCAGGGACTTCTTTCTAGGGTATACCTGGTTCCCCGGCTATTAGTACCCGAGAGGGCGTGCGGTTTTAGTCGGTTCGAGTCCGACATGCCACCGATAAGTGGTATCCGAGGGGATTTTAATAATAATAATTGTTATCAGTCAAGACCTGCAAAAGTCACCACCTCCAAATCCATTTAATACACGCCAAGTCTGGAAAGGAATCAGGCAGCTTAAAGATAAGAAAGCACCTGGGTTTGACCTTATCACAAGGGAAGCACTACTTAAATTACCAAGAAAAGCCAGAGTATTCATAAAAACGCTCTTTAATGGCATATTAAGAGTACAGTGCTTCCCCACACTCTGGAAGGTTTCACAGATCCTAATGGTCCACAAAATTTGAAAGCCGGCCAATGAAATAACTTCCTATAGGCCTATAAGCTTACTCTCAATATTATCCAAGGTCTTCGAGAAACTACTCCTACACAGAGTCATGCCCGAACTTGAAAATAATAACATAATTCCAAATCACCAGTTTGGTTTTAGATCGCAGCACTCAACCGTAGAACAAGTCCACAGAGTCGTGGATAAAATAAGAAAGACACTGAAGGAAAAAGAGTCTTCAGTTTTTTTGGACGTGCAACAAGCCTGCAACGACCAAGCAAAGTCTGGCACAAGGGCCTCCTTTTTAAGATCAACAATAACTTGCCTCATAACTACTACCTTTTGTTTGAGTCCTATTTGTCGGATAGACTCTTGAAAGTAAAAGTAAAACCCCTAAACAACGTAGTGGCTCGACAAATGGAGGATTAAGGTCAATACATCTAAATCCATTAATGTTACCTTTACGCTGCGTAAAGGGAACTGTCCTGCTGTGTAGCTGGAAGATACCATACTCCCTTACCAAGACACAGTACGGTATCTCGGACTACATCTTGATCGGCGCTTAACCTCCGACGCGTCGCCGTCACAACATTTAGAAGAATATATATCAGGGACTACAAATATGTTTATTTCATTGAATATAATTATAAAATAACGTAGATATTGAGGTAATAATGACTTCGCTCAGCTGTGACTGGGTCACCAGTTCAAGGGCGCGACAGTAACGGGTCATAGGTCATCCGCGCGCCGCGACGTACTAAGAGTTAACATGGAGACCACACATTGCGACCAAGAGACATGAACTGAAGCTCCGTTACCACAGTCTGTCATGGTTACTGGGCAGAAATAGCAAGCTATGTATGCTGTATGTTTTGACTGCACGAAAGGCGTAGACTTTTACCTTTGTAAAAGTCCGTAAAAATATTTATCGTTTGTAAAATTAACAACAATGCACATAAATTTAATGGGGCAGTATTCTTCAAAAATATCCATTTTTGAAGAATTTTTGGGCATCCCGTGACCCGGTCACAGCTGAGCGAAGTCATTATTAGAAAACAAAACAACGAAACTAGAAACTAGAAACTCCAACATCATTATACTACAGCGAGTACAAAATATGATACTCAGAAACCTATGTAATGCCCCATGGTTCATTACCAATAAAGAAATACATCAACATATCGAGATGAGTACTAGAGTACGAGAGACATATAAAAGGAGACTTGAAAAGCATCCCAATGCACTAGCTGCCCAGCTGACAACATGTAGCTATAGTAAACAAGTAAAGACTTGTACCAACTTTTATTATAATAGGTATATAGGAATTATCCTATAGGTACAGATTTATAGTTGTTATTAAGTTAAGCAGTTCTTTCGTCGCTATTTACCTAGTGAGTAGGGCTGCTCAGTGGCCCTACCCTAATTCGGAGAAGGGAGGCATCGCACTTGTCTGTCTCTTCAGGGTACAGGTCTCTACTTACCATCAGGACCCGTCTGCTTGTTTGCCACATACCACAATTGTATGTATTGTATGTTCAGTGTTATCGTAACTTTGATGTCTATTATGCGAATTCTCAATTTAGTCTTTAATTGTGTGGTATGTTTATATTTAGCGAAGACCACTAGTCTGAAGTAATGATTTTACTCTTAAAATGTGTTTGTAAAATGGACAAAAGTAAAACACCAAACTTTTGCACTGAAAATATTTCAAGGCAATATTGACAATTAATCATCATTACTTACAATATCTTTCTTATCATACAAAATTAATAAATTGGACTTACGTGACAACCTAATTAAATGATTAATTTGGCTTAAGACAATCAGATATGTTTTTAAAATTCACCAAGTAGACAATATAAATACAAGGAGAATGCCACTCTATTGCTAGTACTACTGTAGTATTAGCAGTAGCCACTGACATACCTTTGTCACTCAACTCAGCATGAAAGTTTTTGTCGTAGTATTGTTGGCACTGGTGGCCACTGTCCACTCCAGAAACATCAACATCGAAGATGTGATTGACCTGGAAGACCTCACCGCCTATGGATATCATGATAAAATCGGTATTCCTTTAGCCGATGACATCCGTCAAGCGGAGTCTCAACCGAGTTCCAGAATCACTGGTGGATCAGCCTCGAATCTAGGACAGTTTCCTTACCAGGTGTGTATAATGCTATTTGTTAATGTAAGTTAGTGTTTTGAAATTAAATAATATTTTTTTTATAGGTTGGTCTTGTCATCTCTGTCGGAGGTGGACAAAGTGTATGTGGTGGTGCTATTGTCCGTCAAAATAGAGTACTCACTGCGGCCCACTGCTGGTTTGACGGTCAAAATCGGGCAACGAGTTTAACGGTTGTAGCTGGTTCAATTAGACTGTTCTCTGGCGGTCAAAGAATTGTGAGCAACAGTGTTGCCATGCACGGTAGCTGGAACCCGAATTTAATTCGAAATGATATTGGCATGATCAATTTATCTACTCTTATCGCGCTCAACAGTAAGTGAACTTTAATTTAACCTTCTATCATAATAAAGTAGGAGTAATGTATAAAGATTTTGACTGCTATTCTTACGGTTACATTTTTTATAAATACATGTCAACATAAATAAATAACGAAGAGCAGCTTAGCTCAACAGTATTAATTACTTTTACATATCGAATTTACCAAATTAAAATTCTTGCTTAGAATATTCTTTATAGCGGCCTCGCTTGTAGGGGAGATTGACTAATTTAAAAAATATGTGTTAGTTTATTTTAAAATGTTTAAAGTACATATATATACATAGATTATGTAAATTAAGTAACATGCCTTTGTAAGTAAGACATGTGGTTATACAGGTGATAGTAAAATGTGTGTTTCTTTCTGTTCTGAATGCTTTCGTTACAATAACATCCAAAGCGTTTTTTAAATTGTTAAAACATTACTCATTTTCACAGGTGCTGCTGGTCTTATTGCATTGCCTACTGGCGCTCAGCTCAACCAACATTTCGCCGGTACCACTGGAGTTGCTTCAGGATTTGGACGTACTGGTGACGGTAAGAATATTGTTAGCAAGTAAATATTTTACAACATATTTTACGTTTATATCTCATTTGTTATTTAACAACTGTGCAGGTGCGAATCACGGAATCACAAATAATCAAGCCCTCAGACATGTCAACCTGCAGATAATCACCAATGCTGAGTGTAGCCGCTCGTTCGGTATCATCACAGCGGGCAACATTTGTACCAGCGGTGCTAACAGCAGAAGTACTTGCCAAGGTGACTCCGGTGGTCCTCTTGCTGTTTCCATAAATAACCGACCGACACTGGTACGTTCTTTTTACAATTGTTTTTGATGAAATGTATTCTAAAAGCTTACTGATATGGTGTATGATTGACGTATTGTTTTCTTCTTGTAGGTTGGTCTAACCTCTTTCGGTTCCGCTGCAGGCTGTCAGCGAGGCTTCCCTGCTGCATTTGTTAGAGTCACTGCTTTCGATAGCTGGATCCGTGCTCGTATGTAAACGTCTTGTAAAGTGTAACAGAACAATTGATACATTTCATTAAAATATGTTAATTGGTTATGTCTCTGAATTTTTTATTATTGATATTTAACTTATTTAAATTACACCATTATCGAAACCCCACCATATGACTCATTTCTATTACACCTATACGAGTATATTGTATAGTATAACAGTCAGGTGAGTCTCACTGTTCAACCAAAATTATAAATTTGCTATAAATGGGGTGGTACAAATTTTGGTATTAAAGGTTTAATATAATACGAACAGGTATATTAGATTTATTATTAATATTGTCATTATTCATCAGTTTTGTATATTGATTATAATTTAACTTTTATTCATTATATCTACTACTCTCCACCTCTCACCTCTCTCTACAGTATTTGACCGAATGAAATGTATTAGTAATTGACCAATCTTTCAAGGCTGGGACAAACTTATTTAAGGGTAGTTCTTTGAATTGTTCTGGGATTTTATTGAAGACTTTAACGCACATCGCTTAACTATTTTTTTTGAAATTTTGTCGACCTAGCTACCATGTTCAACACAAGTCTATTTGGATTTCTAATGTTGTTCCTGTTGGTGACATCCTTCGCTTGCTTAAATATCAGGGTAAGGGCCACGGGTCACTTTTAGGCTCAGATTCCGTTTCTTCTCGAATGTTTGAACACTTGAAATCTTTCACACGAGGTTACTGTATTTTTTTAAATAAAATTACTGGTATCTCGACAACGGTGATTGTTACAACAAAAATGAAAAGACATAATTCCTTTAATATATTGGTAAAAAACAATCTGCCTCCTCGTTCTGTGTGCTAGGGATGCTAGAAAGGGCGAAAAGAGACCGTCAGAGGTTTAAAACTCATCTGAGTGTCGGCTCAGATAGCGGCTTGACAGCTAGGCAGGAGTCTAGTGCGAACAGACCTGAATCTGACTAGCCACCAGTCGCCTTAGCAGAAGCAGGATAGGGTCAGGATAGGTAAGTATAATTATAATACTTACCTATCCTGACCCTACGAGCGCGTGCGTCTAATCAAGGGCGAAAGCGAAGTTGAAATCGTGGTCAAAACACATGAAGCGCACCGTTTGTAAAACAGCCGATGGCCCGAGGGGACCAGTATCAACTTATGAATTTTAAAACTATCACTTTATTTTTGCCCTTACCTACAATTCATCAAACAGCGCTAGCAAGAAAATATTCATCAAGTTATGGTTTTCAGAACTATCATTATATTTTAGAGAGGTAGAAATATTGCCCCTGCCCCATTTTATACCATCTTATATCTTGCTGCTTTGATGCTTCAGTGTTCACTTGTGCCGTATTCCCCAAAATCCAAAGCCAGCCACGACTGCGAGGGCCAAAGCGCGCACAGTGCTCCATAGAACACTAGCGTTGGTGGAGAAGCATGTGGAATTCCGCCACGTCGTTCTACAAGCGCAAGTCTAGCACGTCGCAGGCTATCTTAAAAATTGTATATAGACCAGACCATGATGGGCGCGAGGTGTGGGCGTGTTAAGGTCATGGCTCATTGGAGCCACTCGACACCCGAGCAGCATCGCCCCACCTCGAGCGGTTAGTATTCTTTGTATGGAGTTCTATGGGCATACACTCACTACATCAACGCCGGAGCGCCTTCCCCGTGGTGACCACCACCCATGCTCGCACTCTTGTCTTACGTTGCTCACGCGCAGGTCCTGAACAAGTTGCGCGCAGTCCTCGAGTACTTCACGCGTGAGGTCGATGCATTGCCGAGTGACGATGACGATCCCTGACAAACTACTCACGGGACATTTAGTGGTGTAACAACGCGACATCCAATCGTGGATCACCCAACGTTCACTGGTCGACAACGCGGCGTCAACCCGTGGACCACCTGTCGATAACGAGTGGACACCGAGCGACGAGGTGTTGTTGGTGGGGTGTCGCGTGGGTCTAATGAGCTATGATCTTTAGTCAGCTCGAGGGTGGTGTGGTATCCGGGAGAATTTCCACAAGTGGAAAAAAGTGCCCCGTTTCGTATGAATACTTCAACTTCATCATTTTCTTTTGGACGTTTGTGTTTCCATTCGATAGTCTTTTATAAATAAGAGACAACCGATGTTCACGTTGTTCTATTGTTTCCACGTCTGTGAGGACTACTATGTGAGGATTATTATGTCAAAGCGCAACTTAGTTGTGGATAAAATGGTCAAGAATTGGTTTAGATTTTTTATGCTTCTTATATTTGTATGTATAATATTTAATTGATGGTCCCTAAAAACAAAGTCGCCGCACTGTTCCGAAGAGCATTTAAAAGTCTGGGCAAGTGTCAAATCGTCTACGTCAATGGAAGTTTGATTTATATTAGTAATTTTTTATTTGATATGCAATCGTTCCGATGGCAACATAATACATGTCATTAGTTGGGCACAGATGATGTTTATTCGATGATATAATCGGTTATTTACTATTGGAAATATGATCACTCGTAATAAAAGGCTAATGTTGTTGTTACTGTAAATTATTTGAAACAAAGAAGTTTCTTTAGGGGTGATTGTTGTTTTTGAAGGTGAGTTAGTCAATATATGTGAGTAATGTATGGTATAAGTGTTAAAGTGAAGTTGAAGTTGAAGTGTTGAAAGAGACTATAAAAATAACATGCAAAATTCGAAATAAGTGATTTTAAATAACATAGTTATTGTTAGCGGAGGTTTCAGATTGGGGCCGACTAAACAGCTAGCACAGTTCAACCCAAAAAAGACACAGGTCTGTGCATTCACCGCAAAGAAGATACCATTTGTCGTATCACCACGGTTTGAGAGCACCTCGCTAACTGCCTCAGACAGCATCGGAATTCTAAGCATCGACATATCGAGCGAAGTCCAGTTTTGGGGCACTTAGAGTGTAAGGTCAAATTGGCATTGAAGAAGCGAGCTTCTTCTCGAACTCGGTGTGCTGAACAGATTGAGGTAGTATTTCACTCCGGTCCACCGCCTTCAGCTGTATAAGGCGCAAGTCCGGCACCATATGGAATACTGTTCTCATCTCTATGCAGGGTCACCTCAGTACCAGCTTTTCGAATCGTCGATAGCCCAAACATCTCCGATTGGCTCTATCCCTTGGCGTTACCTAGAGATATGGCTTCACTTCGAACTAATACCAGTCGCAATTTTCCGCCATCGTTCTACACGGCAAAATTTTCGTCCTCATCACCTGGATAGTTGGCGCTCCACTGCTGTGCGCTTTTCGAGATACTTTTGGCCCCGCACAATCAATCTGTAGAACGGGTTATCGTCTGCGTTATTTTCGGATCAATACGACCTTTAAACTTTCAAGAAAAGAGTGTACTTCCTCCTAAAAGGCCGGCAATGCGTTTGTGACTCCTGAGTTGCAGACGTTCATGGGCGGCGATAGTCACTTTCCATCAGGTGACAAGTCTGCTCGTCTGTCGCCTCTAACATAAAAAAAAACACCCTTGCTTAGCCCATTGTGACAGCCAGACCTCGACAATCGGTTAAGTACTTGGTCAGTCGCCGATGTGTTCCTAATGGGGTCAAAGTCCTAACCCGTACGCTGGTTTGCACTTCTTTTGAGCATTAAGATATTAAAATTCTTTATTCATCAGTTACTTAGTCCTTATCACGTGAAAATTTATAAACCATGCTGTCGCTCTTATTCTAATTAACACTTTGTATACTTTTATTGGTAAATAAAGTCACTTTTAACACTGTTTTTGGAAATAAAACTGGGGTCACTAGCATGTGTGCACATGTATGTACGTACACGGTGGCGTCACGGACGGTTCTCATTACTATTATAGTGTTACTGACTTTATGAATGACAGAACTGTTTGTAATTGTTTTGACATGAAATTGCTGACATTTGTTTATTTAATAATTTTAATATATCATAAATTGCCTACGCAAATTTAACATACCTATATTTTTCCTTAATTACGTATTATTGTAAAAACTAACTTAAATGTAAAAAAAAATTGTATGCGTTGAGATAGAATGTAGCTGCTCATTGTTATACTTTTATTAACACCTTAATATGTATACCCATCTTCTCAAAATAAATTATTTGATTGATTGATTGATTAATACCCAATCACAATTTATAATTATCTATTTACACAATTACAATGTGACGATTCTTGTCTAAACCCGTTATCTATTAATATAAATATTTATTTTTTTGTGTTGGAACTCCTACTTTTAAACAAGAATAATAAGTATTGCTGTGTTTAAATAGATGTTAGAATAAACTTACTTTTTAGAGTCGAACTTATTTTTTTATGGTGGCCAAAACTTCACACAGAAAAAAAGCAGTTAGAAGCAATTTCGACCTTAATGACATTTACCCCCTAAAAACCATGACCCCTGAAAACACGTTTTTAGGGGCCTATAAATGGCTTTGATCACGAATATAAAAAAGAATATTTTTTTTTACCTTATGATCCTTATGATCTTCATTTGTTTATACCGATCGCATACAGGTATTAAACACCAACATTCAATATTAGTAATATCGATAACTGTTTCAATCTCTAGGGTGACACTAGACTATTTGGAAAAAAAACTTCCAAACAGTTCGATAATTACTGGTAGGGCTGGATGGAATAAACCAGTGAAGTATGGTGAAGTAGTTGTATTAATATCAATGGTTCAAACGAAACAAATTTATCTCCTTTAGCTTTTACATATATTTGATATTACAAATCATTTTTGTGTATTTTGTTGCATCGATAGTTTAGTAAATTAAATCCAATACATTAATAGTTAAATAAAAAAATAAAGCAAGTGTATTATTTATTTTTAAATTAAGTGCACTCATAAAACCATTAAACATTTACGCACATATACGTGACGTTCAAATACGAGCAATGATCCAACTAATGAAGGAAGTCACTCTAACATACACAGCAGGGAAGCCTTGCTGACAGCCTCGAGCAGAACCGAAAGAGGTCAGACCAACCTACAAAAAAGAAAAAAAGCTAGTTAATCATTTACCACATCAGTAACTTTGGCATTACGATAATATAATTTTTGTTTAATTAAAAACGATTATTATAGAACAACGTACCAGTACGGGATGGCCGCTCCTAGTAACAGCAAGAGGACCGCCGGAGTCACCTTGGCAAGTACTCCTGCCGTTAGCACCGCTGGTACAAATGTTGCTTCCTTGGAGAATCATGGGGAACGAGCGCCAACAGTCAGCATTAGTCATTATTGGTAGGCTGACGTGACTGAGGACTTGGTTCGTCGTAATACCGTGATTAGGGCCTATAAAAGTCGTTATAAAACAAATGAGATACAAACGTAAAATGTGTTGTAAAATATTAACTTACTAAAAAATATTCTTACCGTCGCCAGTACGTCCAAATCCTGAAGCAATTCCAATCTCATTGGCGAAGTGTTCGTTGATCAGGCTGCCAGAAGGCAGGGCAATGTTAGAAACAGCGCCTGTAATAATTGGTTATATATTATTTTAAATATAAATTATTCTGATTTGATTAATACTTAATAAGTTTAAAATAAAAGCACCTCCCCTACAAAGGAGGCGGAAACAAATAAACACAGACGCGCACGCACGATCAAGTTACAGTTTTATTTTAAGTGTAGTTTATAATTTTATCTAACTTTCACAACGTGATCTATAAAAATGAGTTATATTTTAGCTATTATATTTAATAAATAAATAATATTTAGATCATCATCATCATCAACAGCCTTAAATAGCCTACTGCTGATGAGGAAAATGTGGCGAGAAAAGTGTTAGGTGTTGGAGTTGAAGGGTATAAGAGAAGAGGAACACTAAAGAAAATTTGGATGGACTGTGTGAGAGAGGATATGGCTAGGAAAGGAGTAAACAGTAAAATGATGAATGACAGACTAGAACGCATACTGCGCAGACCCCAAATAAAATTGGGATAAGGGTAGACAGATGATGATAAATGATGAATGACAATCAAAGAACAGCTTTTCCATGTTGAGGATAGTTGTACTTTGATTCTGTAATGGGCTGTTTATGACATTGTGATTTAACATAGTCAACATAACTATGTTGACTTCTAATAAAAAAAATATTGTTACTTTCTGCACAGATGTGCTGGAAATAGGAATAGCAGTCAAAATAATTAAACGTCTATACAAGCTATTTATCAGAACTTATATCTACATTACACCTACTTCATTATTTATATATAATATTAAGATATATAAGTGTTCTTACCTGACAGCCAAATATGAATAGGCAGGTTAAGGATTCCAATATCATTACGAATTAAACTCGGGTTCCAACTAGCGTGCATGGAAACACTATTGGTAGTAATCCTTTGACCGCCAGAGAACAGTCTAATTGAACCAGCTACAACTTCTACACTTGTCCCCTGATTTTGTCCGTCAAACCAGCAATGGGCTGCTGTGAGTACCCTATTTGCATTGACAATAGCCCCACCACATACACCCTGCCCATTTCCAAACCGAACAAGAAGACCAACCTATGAAAAAAAAATTAAATTTAAAAATGACTGACACTAACTTATATTTATAAGTAGCATTCTAAACAGACCTGGTAAGGAATCTGCCCTGGGCTCGAGGCTTGACCACCAGTAATTCTGGAACTCGGTTGAGACTCCGCTAAACGGATCTTATCGGCTAAAGGACGACCGACTTTATCAAGATATCCATATGCAGTGAGGTCTTCCAGGTCAATTACATCTTCGACGTTAATGTTTCTGGAGTGGACGGAGGCCACCAGGGCCAGCAATACTACGGCCAGAACCTTCATGTTGAGTTGAGTAATAAAGGTAATTTAGAGACTACCGCAAATACTACAGTAGTTCTAGCTATAGAGTGGCAGTCTCTTTGTATTTATACTGTACAGTTTGAAGATATTTTACGACATATCTAATTGATTTTAAGCATAATTAATCATTTAATTAGATTGCCACGTAAGGCCCATCAATCAAGTTTGTATTGATAAGAAAGATTACAAGTAATGATCCGAGTGCAAAGATCCTGCTTAAAGTAGAGCGTAGCGTCATAGTATTTCATTAATTCCTTTATTATCAATTTAATAGTTTAAATATGTAATGTAAGTTGAACGTACGCTTTTGTCCATTTACTAAACACATTTTAAGAGGAGGAAGCTTATTACTTTGGAGGAAGACTATGAACAAGAAAACATACGGATGAAGAAACCTGATACACAAATCACTTAAAGTTAAGCATTAGAAAAGTGGCTGTCACCATGACACCTGCAACTCAAAGAATCACAAATGCGTTGCCATCTTTAAGGTTTAATTTTTCAAGACCAAACGATATGGAGATTAACGATTGTTGACAGTTGTGTCTTATGTCTAAAATGGTGTTATCAGACAACTGACATCTGACGTTGATTATACAATGTTAAACATCGGAAACTAATTAATCTTCATATTGCTACTTTACTTTACCGCTTCGAACCCAGGCCCCCTGTGCCTTACCAGTATGAAATAAACATCACCAAAAGATTTTCACAAATCAAAGTTTCCGAACAAAATAATGTAATTGTTGTAGGACATTCCTAAGATAAAACGTAAATAGTTTCTTCAGCAGACCTATTTGTTTTAATACCATTTCCCATAGAGATTGATATCTTCATATATCCAAATGTTACATTTATTAGCTGACCCGTGCAACTGCGTCAGCTTCTCCCAAAAATAATAACATTTTGTAGTGGACCAAATTGTGAATCTAAAGTCGAATCCACTAGAATACACACAAAACATTTCATCACAATCGGTCCAGGGGTCCAGGAGTCCAATCACATATACACGCACAGAAAAATTATATATATAATAATTCGGGCCGGTTTTATAGAAAATGATTAATTTTATATAGTGGCTAACATGCAGCTAAACGTTATTTATTTTACATCTTTATGTACTTATGTACCAGCCACCTAACTATTACTCCCGTCATGAAAGTTAATTTTTAATATGCGTATTATTGTGCATATTAATGTTCGCTGCTAATAGGTTCTGGCAGTAGTCATCTCGACTAACACATATCTGACCCTGAGCTCGAGCTATTTCTAACATTCCCCAACCTATCTATTTACGCAATTTATATCCGCCAAATTATATAGACGTAGAAATGTACTAGACGGGGTATTAAAATAAACTGCAAGTACATTTCACACCTATTAGCCTATTCGGTCAGTCTCGGTATAGTCTTGGATAAAACTAAGGTTATGTTCGATGAACATGTTGCACTCACACCGATTCCCGTCGAAGGGTCGACGCTCGGAGTTGTTAAGGAATCTACCTTGGGCAGATCGGCAGAAATAACTTCGAAAAAGAATTCACCAAAAGTTCATAGTTTAAAAAAGACTTTTTTTTTAAACTGTGTCGAGTTTTCTTGTCACCCTTGCCGCCCTAACGATAGGGTTGGTCCGTAATAGTCCTTTAAGTGACGCAGGGAAAGACCGATCCATGCTTGGAGTTGCTAAATGACGTTTTCTATGTATGTATTTACAAAAAAAAAGTATATAAGCATTCTATCAGTCAATCAAGCTTTCTTAGTACAAGCTCTGTTTATTTTGAAACTAGATAGCGTTGTGTCAGATGTCCGAAATATTAAAAAAGAATTAACAGCATAACACTCAATATAATATATATCCTTATAAAAAATCGCTTTGCTCATGAATCTTGCACCTGCTCCGATTTAACATTGTATGACGCAAAACGTCATATGATGTATTAATTTTTAACATGCACTACGTGTCAATACGCAATATTGTGAACTTCTTGTATTGATTTGATTTGTTTTGTTGAATTTCTTCACTGTATTCGTTTACAACAAGTTAAATAATAATGTTAAACATTTGTGTAAAGCCAAGTATTATTGCATAGTGAGTGACCTCTTAAAATAAAAGTATTTGTATATAAATCGACTAGGGACATTTGAAAATCAGTTAAATGAATTAGGAGATCGCAAAAGGTCCAAGTTGTTTGATATATTTGAGAAAATGTTCTGGTTGTAGTGAGGGTTGTCGAAATTTAGCTAGTGGTCAAGTTATTTATAAATTTAGTTAATGAAAGTTAAATACAGATTACCTCGTATTTTATTGAGATTCTGAAGCACTTAAGTTTATAGATGTTACAACAAAGTGTCTGGTGTCGCTGATAATGCAAAATTAGGACTTATTGTTAAATAGGCTGGGGAATAACGGTCACTTATCATTTTTTCTGTTGCTATTCAATTACCAGGATCACTACTTCAAGAAATAACTCAAATTTGTACAACTTTTAAATATTTTTATTAAAAAGTGGGTCTATTTTTTGTAAACTATTAATTTTAATAAATAACACTTACTCGTATAAGCATTTATGTACTTCTTTTGTGGCGAATTTGATGTTATAAAATCGCAACAAATCATTTTTATTATAAATGCTTTGCAAACTACCATTAAAAAGTAAGTATCCAAAAAATAAATGAAAAAGGATCGTTGAAAAAATCACAGTCTTCTTTAAATAGATAAATCGTTCGAATAAAAATATACCCTTCATGAACAAGCAGGTTTGTATAATACATAGCACACGTTTTGCCGAAATAGTTTTATTACAAGATGCATTTTATTCTAACTGTTATCATCAACAGCCTTTAAAGTCCACTGCTGGACATAAGCCTCTCCTTAGAAAGGAGGTTTTGGCCTATAGGGTTTGTGTCAAGTTTTCCTTCTTTCTGCAGTGTTCTGTCTTCTTTGTTCTTCTCTCTTCTGTTATACTCAGAGCAATAACAGTGAAGTAGTGGTATATTTCATTTCTAAAATTCCTAATTGTATCTAACAAGGTGAAGTGTAGGGCCGACCTTGCCCGTTGGTTGGAGCAGCGCGTGCATGGACGCGGCCCCATACGAGGGGCCCCGATGACTCCTGTAGGAGATTCTACTCGGGGGTTGTGGAGCGATCGTCGCAGTAGTGCGAAGTTGCTGGCCTTTAGGGCTTCCGCCCGTATTGGGGCCTCATAAAGGGCCATGAACCGCATAACTCTACTCCGCATAAAACTACATAGTAGAATCTCCTACAGGAAGGAGGAGGTCATAAGAGGGAACCGCACGATCTCCTTTGAGGCGGTGAGTCTCCTGGCCGGTACTCCACCGTGGAACCTAGAGGCGCGAGACCTTGCGGCTCTGTATCGCTGTAATGGACGTCGTAATGAATACTATAATAGTGTATTCAGACCATCATTCTGAGTCGAAAATCATTGGAATTTTCTGCCGGAGTATGAAACTTTATATACAATCAGCTGTCAAAGGTAAAGGCCTTTCTCCGTAAGTATCGCACAAAAGTAATATCTACATGTGTCTTCCGTGCAAACAGTCTACGCACACTAACACAAGTACTGGCAATTATGTTAGTAAGAGGGGCGAGGCGGGGTATGGTAAGACATACAAAATGATAGATAGTTAGTTTTCCAATTATAGATATGAAACGAATGCCAAAAGATAATTCTCACTGTAACCTTCCTGAGATATACAAGGCATGCCTTTTGAGTTTTGTCGTTTGAAGAAAAAAACACAACTAGAACCTTATAGTACTTTTTATTGTTTTTCAAAGTATTCACCACGTAGCTTAATACACTTTTCCATTCGCTCAAACCAGTTATTATAACATTTATTCCACTCTAAAGGGGGGGTGTTCAAAATGGCAGACTTGAAAGCGTCGACTGCTTCTTCACCGGACCTTTGACCACGAAGACTTTTCTTAATTTTAGGAAATGTAAAGAAATCGTTAGGGCTTAGGTCAGGACTGTATGGAGGATAGTCAAGAATTTCTACTTTTTCCTGCTTCAAATACTCAATCGTTTGACGAGCGCTGTGTGAGCTTGCGTTGTCGTGGTGCAGGATGATGCGTCGTGATGCGTGAGTTAGATTTTCGAAGTTCGGCGATGACTTGTGTTAAACAAACTATGGTATACCACTCTGCGTTAACCATTCTACGATCTTCAAGTACAATTGTCGCAACATGGGCGGTTTTTCAACGAACGTGGCCACCATCTTCTTTGAAGTGCTTCGAGAACGAACAACTTTAGTCGGCTTTGGCTCGTCTTGAAAGACCCAGATTGTAGATTCTTGTTTGGAATCAGGATCGTAGGCATAGATCCAAGATTCGTCACCACTGATGATGTCTTAGACGTGATTTGACTCTCCTCGGTTGAACCTTTGCAGAGTTTTCTTACACCATCTGACGCGGGCCGCCTTGTGATCGTCGGAAAGCAGTCGGAAGCAGTCAAACTAGCTTTCTCACACCAAGCGCTTCATGCAAGATCTTCTGAATGGTTGTCCCTGAAATGTCTAATAGAGCCTCTATCTCTCGATACGTCACATGACGATATTCGAGAATTAGTTGTCTCACAGCAATGATGTTATCTTCAGTGAAGGCGGATTTTGGGTGTCCTTCGCGAGATTTGTCACTAACACTAGTATGTCCACGCTGGAATTCTAAATACCAGCGTTCGAAAGTCCGCAGACATGGGGCTTCATCACTGAACAAAGATGTTAGCTCTTCAAAACACTGAAGCCGTGTCAGGCCTCTTCTAAAGTTGTAGAAAATTATTGTACGAACATTTTCCTTAGAAAGATTCATTTTCGTACGTAACCTGACTGATTCCAATCGACGCTGTGACTAAACAATAACATTAATCCTAATACTTTCAACTGTTTTAAGATTCAAAATTTAAACACATTCGAATATAGAACAGTTCCAAATTCAAAATTGCCGGGAAATATGGAAACGACAGAACT